AAAAGTGAATTGCTTTGATAAAATTCTCTGACTTTCCTAATTACAGATGCTTTTTGAAGAAGAAAAATCTGCTGCAGTCATAGAACTCCAGCATAATTTGTAGTTTGACTCTTAACTGAAAGGCACTCTCACATCCAGGGCATGACAAAGGAGAAAGAAAATTAACTATCAGCTGTTATCAAGCAAGTTTTGATTTGGGACCCACTTCATATCCATACCTTTTAAGGCCTACTTGTAAATATGGCACCATCTTAAGAATCTTCCTTTCTCTTTCCAGCCAAAAATGCTAGAGTCTATCAAACTAGTAATGAACACTGAATTCCAGTTCTATTTTTTCCTACCAATATAGCAATGTGTTGTTGTTTTTATGCCTTCAAGTCATTTCTGACTTATCTTGACCCTAAAGTGAATTATCACAGGTTTTTTTTGGCAAGTTTCTTCAGAAGGGGTTTGGCATTGCCATCCTTTAAGGCTGAGAGAGTGTGACTTGACCAAAGTTATCCAGTGCATTTCACGGTCGAACTGGGAATTGAACTCTGGCCTCCAGAGTCATAGTCCAATACTCAAACCACTACACCATGCTGGCTCTCATAGATATTTATTTGCATTTGAATTTGAAACTATTTATTTTTTTAATAAAATTAACTGTAATACAGTGAGCCCTTGGTATCAACTGGGATTTGGTTCCAGCCCCCCCCCCCATGGATGCCAAAATCTGTGGATGCTCAAATCTCATTAAATGCAATGGCATAGTAAAATAATATCCCTTATATAAAATGGTAAAATCAAGGTTTCGTTTTTGGAATCCACATACACACGTATTCCAAAAAGCAAACCTTAATTTTACCATATACCAAGAATGTTCAGGTGAGGTTTGGAAACAATCCTGCATGAAACACTGAAGAGCTATTCCATACCATATATATATATGAGAGCCAGTATGGCATAGTGGTTCAAGTGCCGGATTATGACTCTGGAGATCAGGGTTGAAATCCCGGCTCAGCCATGTAAATCCACTGGGTGACCTTGGGCAAGTCACACTCTCTGAGCCTCAAAAGATGGCAATGGCAAACACCCTCCAAAGAAACATGCCATGAAAACCCCATGATAGGTTTGCCTTGGGGTTACCATAAGTCAGAAACAGCTTAAAGTCATATATAATAGGAGTGTGTGTATGTGTGTACAATTTTCATCTTTAATATTTTCAGGCTATGGATAGCTGAATCCTTGGATAAAGAATCCATGGATACAGAGGGCTGACTATAGTAATATCACTCTGTACACACTAAAATTTCATCCTATTTAAAAAGCTAAGCTGTTTAGGGCCTGGTAGCCCTTGGATGGCATTCCACCAGGGAATACCAAGAACATTCAGGTGGAGACAATCCTGAATGACAATCCTGAATGAAATACTGAAGAGCTATTCCTGCCAGTCGGAGTTGACAATACTGGTGATATGACCCAGCATAAGGCAGATTTCTATATTGCCCTACTATCAGTCTGGTACATGGGGCAGCAGAGAAGTCTCTGGAGACAACAGTCATTTATTATACATCCAACCTTGGATGTGTTTGGAAGGACCAGCTGTGGGTTAGGACCCTTAATCTGAGCTTGATGTTGTTGCATGCCTTCACGTCATTTCTGACTTATGGCGACCTTATCATGGGATTTCCTTGGCAAGAAAGTAGGTTTGCCATTGCCTTCCCCTGAGGTTGAGAGTGTATGACTTGCCCAAGATCATGGCTGAGCTGGGAATTAAACCCTGGTCTCCCGATCATTGCCTCAACTCAAACTACTATGCCACATTGTCTCTCCTTAGTCTGAGCAATGCCAAATTATTTTTAACAGTTGTGCCATTCTAGACAGCATATGGCTGGACTAGAACTATCTAACCTTTCAGACCATCCTATGTGTACCTGGAGGTGTCAGTTTGCAGAGGAATCATTTTGTTTTGGAAAGCTTTATCTCATTTTCGCAGAGACTGTGGGCCTTGGCACAAAAGCTCATGGTGTATGTGGGAGCATTGACAGGAATCTTTCCACTGATGTCAGTTAATTTTACATCAAGGCCCAACATGAAGGTCACAGTGCAAGAGAAAAGCTGGCATGAGTTGGATTTAATGGTAATCAATCAAGGCTGCAATTTATTTAACAGTAGCTCTTGTATTTCTAAAGAGGATAACATGAAATGCCTGTGTGGTTTTTTTAAATGTGAAACTTTAAGCATGGCAAAAGAGAGATTTTTTTTCTCACTTTCTTTACTTTTCTTTTTTTAAATGAATGTTATTATTAAGGGTCATGACATCTATGGTCCAAAACATACTGCAGAAATAATCCAGTTTGAGACCGCTTTAATGGCCCTGCTCAGTGCTAGGGACTTCTGGGAATTGTGATTTATTGTGTAACCAGAGAGCTCTCTGACAGAGGCGGCTAAATGTTTCACAAAACAACAGTTCCCAGAATTCCATAGCATTGAACCAGGGAAGCAGAAGAGATGCACAGATGCTGAACTTCAGCTTCTCTACGAGGTACATTTGGTCATTTCAGAGATTAAGAAGGTTAGCAGTGTTATACAGTAGTTCTTTTCACAGGGCAATGTTCAATTTATTTACAGACAGGTCTTAATATATAGCATTGCACATCTCCAATTGGTAGGAATTTCCAACATTAGCTGGTACTGAGTCTTGAAGAGACAGTGATGTATGTTTACAAAATATACACATTGAACGTGCAGGACAGACAAACACTTGGAAAGAAAATCTGTAAACTGGCGTTGGTTCTCCTCTTCCCTCAGCAGATCGCAGATACTTGGAACTCTTTAAGGATCCTTCTTCCAGCCAGCTATGAAGAATAAAGACAGTGTTTCATTTTTGCTTCCTAAATTTCAATTAGAGAACCACTGTGGTGTAGCGGTTTGAGCGATGGAGTATGACTTTGGAGACCAGGGTTCAAATCCCCACTTGGCCATGGAAACCCACTGGGCAAGTCACACTCTCTCAGCCTCAGAGCAAGGCAAAGGCAAATTCCCTATGAACAAATCTTGCATACACAAAAACCATTAAAGGTTCACCTTAGGGTCACCATAAGTGACTTGAATGCATACAACAAAATTTCAATTCTAAACTGTTCTTCTAGTTTCCTTCTTATCTCAGTCCCCATGAACCACTTGCACACAATAACCCAAGTCATTTGTGCATCTTTGGCTCATTCCAGCAAAAAAATCCCAAGGAATGCTCATTATAATGAAAAGATAATCAACTTTATATATATTACATATTTGATTTATGCTAGCCCTTTCTCCCTTCAAAATGGAACTCCCACTGGCGAAGAAGAAGAAGAAGAAGAAGAAGAAGAAGAAGAAGAAGAAGAAGAAGAAGAAGAAGAAGAAGAAGAAGAAGAAGAAGAAGAAGAACTGCTGGGATAGAGTTACCTAGAACCCAATTCTACTACTATTAGGAGGTTGGAGGTCCTATATACCCTTCCTGGTGGTGATCCATCTTAGCCTTTCTGAGCATTTCCACATTATAATCCAAATCATTTGCAGTAGTGGAAGGGGAGTGCAATTCCTGGAATCCTTCAGACAGCAGGATGCTGGGAACTGTAGCCCCAAAATGATCTTCCAGGTTCTGCTTCAGATTTTTTCCCCTGTCTGGCCAATCTGTTGCAGAATCTGCACTGTTTGGTATCTGCTCAGTGACAGTCAGACTGAGCACTGTGGTCCAGGCACAGAAGTCAGCCTGGCTGCAACAAAATATTCCACCTTGTCCAGTGGACGTTTTTTCAATTGTATGTAGTTATAATTGAATCAGAGTAAATTAAGCACTTAAAGCTTCCAAGAACGTCATCGTTTTATGTGTCTTTAAAGTTCACATTATAATGAATGAATCAGCTTTCAGGGAAATTACCAGTAACAGATGGTATCCATCCTACAGACTGCAGATATACATATAATTTATGTCACGTAGAGCATGGACCTAGCATTGGGGATGACTCATAGTTGGCATTTGTGTTGAAATTGTCCCTCTAGGACTGCATCCATATTATTTATTTTTCAGGAATAGTATTCATATTAGCAACAGTAAAAATCTCTTTTAAAATAACACATGCATTGAATTTAAATCTTAAATAGAGGTGTGAGTAAAGCCTACTTTCCAGGTTGGTAAAGCTTGAGGGCTTAACTTTTTTATTTTAAAAAAATGTTTAATTTTTTAAAAATAGTTAAAATACATTATAAAAGCAGATAGTCAGCTCTCCACATTTGCAGCTTTGACTTTTGCAGATTTGATTATTCACAAATTTGATTTGTATGTTCCCTCTAGGTATCTCTAGGTACTCCAGCATGACTCTACGGCCAACTTTTGCCAGAAGTTGTGCTGGATGACTTAGACATTTCTAGAGAGAGCACTTCTCTAGGTATTGATAGACCCTCCAGCACAATTTTATGGTCAACTTCTGGTGGATGTTGACCCCAGATTTGTGCTGGAGGACCTAAAAATTCATAGAGAAGTGTTGTCTCAGGTTAAAAAAAGATTTTTATTTACAGTTTTTCCACATTCATGGGGGCCCTGTGTCCCTAATCCCATGTGGAGGACCTAACCCCATGTGGAGAATGTAGTCTGTTCACATAGATGTCATTGCTGTATGCCTTTAAATCCTTTCTGACTCATGACGACCCTAAAGTGAACCTACCATGGGATTTTCTTGGCAAGATTTGTTTGGGGGAGTTGCCTTTGTCTTCCTCTGAGGCTGAGAGAGTGTGTGACTTCCTCAAGGTCACCCAGGGGTTTTCTATGGCTGAGTGATTATTGAAACCATCGTCTCCAAAGTCCTAGTCCAAGACTCAAACCACGACACCACACTGGCTCTAGACACACATATATTCACCTTAATCAATTGTTTTAAACCTGATTATTTTAATTTTCGAGGAACCTTTAGGTTTGCTAGGTGAATAATAGGACAGAGCTTTTGCATCCTAATAGTTATACAGAAGAAGGAAACTCACCAAGAAAAATGACACCTGCTGAAATTCTCTTTTTCTCGATGTTTAAAAGGAGAAGAGTCTAGCCTGGTTTTTTGGCTGGCAACTCAAAGAGATTTACACTTCCTTTAAAAGAAGTCTTGCAGAGCACTGCCTTTTTTAAAAAGCTAGGGAACTTTGCCTTGAAGTCAATCTCTGACTTCATTGGGGAGGATTGGCAAAGAGGTGGTTGGAGGAGTGATTCTTTGCTTTTCTAAAGCAAGTTGTCAGTGAATTTCAGCAACAGACCACGTAGCCAAGAAATCATGCTGCTTGAAATGTAGTGGCAGCTTTGTTTGCTCATAAGGGATCTTGGGGCAGGAGGGGTGCAAAATAAAAGGTGCTGGAAACCTCTTGTGGTGTTTTATCGGCAGTTCTATTTTAAACCAATGTAACACAAAATATTTACCAGATAATATAAAAACACTGGCAGCATTTTTGTTGCTTTCCCTAAAAGCTCGGTCTTATTCTAACAATACAATTGCAACACCACCTAGAGCTGGCCACTCACACATTGGGAAAATAACAACAATGCAACCCAAAAAGAATACCACTGCATAAAATGTGCACATGTTAACCTATATACAGATGCAAATTTAGAATCACTGAACATATAAATAGAAAAACTATAAATGGAAAGCTTATGCTATTGGGAAAGATCATGGCGAAGTGACCTGGCATCAGCTATCAGTGTGCAAACTGTTGATAAGAAATTTCAAGTTCCTTCTTCTCCCTTCTTGTGATTATTTTTAAATCAGACTGATTGGACATAATTCAAATAAAGATTATGGTCTATAAAGGAACACACAGATGAACTATTTAGAGTGGAAAGTGATATAATTAGAACTGGCATATGCATTTATTTTGATGCTGCATGATTATGTTTGAAAGTGTAGAGAGCTGTGAAAATGGATCAGGGTGCGCAATATTGGACTATCAGATGTTGCTAGACTTCAACTCCCATCAGCCATAGCCAACATGACCAAAAAG